AAACTATACACATATAGTTCTAAACATATACATTTTTGTATGTATGTATGTATGTATGTATGTAGGGCTTTTTTTCTAAAAAAAAAAAAAAGGTGCTGGAACTCACACATGTCATACAACCCGCCTTGCCTACCCTGCAAGGTTCCATCCAAAAAAGGTGCCGGAACTCCGTTCTGGGCGTTCTATGAGAAAAAAAGCCCTGTATGTATACACACACACACACACACATGTATATAATATGCCTACATTTTATGCTTTATGCCATGTTATGAAGGCTGAATGTGAAGAATAATTGACTCAGTGACCAAGAGACTATAAACATCCTTTTAAATGTGTTTAAAATAGTTAGGGATAAATTCAGACCGAGAGTGCTCCATTCATTCACTTATTTTCATCCTGAACTCATTTCAATACATTTGAACAAATCAAAAACAGAGGAAAATGTGTTAAATCAATTGCCGGTTAATGTACTTATTGAAAGTCATTTGGCACTACTGACTAAGTCACAGGAAAATCGGAGGGAGAGAGGAAGGGAGCACGGTAATGAAATTGATAAAATGGAATTTTCTGAACCCGAAGGTCATCTAGAATCATTAAAGGTTCTGCCCTGGTCTTGGTCTAATTCTTTTAAAAACCGTTATGATACCTGGTGGCATCAAATTCCATCCGCTTGTTATGCTCAGCTTCAAAGCTATGTGCCCAGGGCTGGAATTATGACGGAAAAAGATACCTTACTTAATGGAAAAATCTATCTACAGGTAGTTCTTGACTTATGACATTACGGTCGTAAATCTGTTGTGACATACAGCATATGTTAGAGCAGTGTTTTTCAACGTTGATCATTTTAAGACCGAGGACTTCGGATCCCAGAATCCCCCAGGATTGGGAATTTGGGGAGTTGGAAGTTTGCACATCTTAAAAGTGGCCAAGGTTGAAAAACACCGTGCGGGAGGAACGTGTTGAGATTATGGGTAGTGTAGTGTGCTGTGGAAGTCCAGGTAATGGGATTAGATTTTGGTTTTCCGAAAGGATTTTAGAACAGGCCTGTTGTTGTGCATGCAGATCCAGCTACTGTTAATCGGGTTTTACTACGGTTTTAATGGAGTTATGTTCTCATCGATACCTGTATTTTGCTTATTGCCTTTTTTGTGTGGTTTGTTTTCATTATGGCAGCCACTTAGAGAGTCCTAGATGTGAGAAGGGTGGCTCTACAAGTAAAATAAAGTGAAGCATTGTTGTTGTTAGTTGCAAAGTCGTGTCCGACCCATCACAGCCCCATGGACAACATTCCTCCAGGCCTTCCTGTCCTCTGCCATCTTCTGGAGTCCCTTGAAGCTCACGCCTCCTGCTTCAGGGACTCCATCCAGCCACCTCCTTCTCTGTCGTCCCCTTCTTCTCTTGCCCTCCATCTTCCCCAGCATCAGGCTCTTCTCCAGTGAGTCCTTCCTTCTCATTAGGTGGCCAAAGTATTTGAGTTTCCACTTCAGGATCTGGCCTTCTCAAGAGCAGTCAGGGTTGATCTCCTCCAGGACTGACCGGTTTGAAGCATAAGAGCATAAAGTAAAAAAGTAAAGTTAAAAAGTAAATTAAAAAGTAAAGTTGAACAGTAAAAATAGATTTACCTAAGGAAAGATCTGCCAGATATATGCCCACCCCGGGACAAGATTGATTTATGTCACTTGTACACGGGAGGTGGATCCAAACCATTTTGGTTTATGTCTTTAAGATGAAACAAGACCACCACCTCAAATGGGTTGGTTCAACCACTAGGCTAAGGGCATTTGTTTTATTTATTTAAAACACCAATCCAACTGCCCATCTTGTCACCAAGTCGGGTCGGCTTCCGATCAAAAGTCAAAACAAGACGCAAGACCTCATGAAAAACCATCAGATTCGTGGGAATTTAATTTTATTTTTCTGCACTGGGTTTTAATTTTTTATTTTTTCGCACATCCGCAGAAGGTTTGATGCAGGGAGCTTTTGAAGGGCTCTGGAGCCCAAATATTTCGGATTTACCCTTCATTGATTAAAAAAATAATAATTCTCTTTTCCAAAAAGTTGCACGCGCTTCCTAGCGGGGAGGGGGGGGAAGAGGACGCTGGCTCGCACCACGTGACTCGCCGGGCCCCGCCCTCCTCCCTCTCGCCCTGGAGTCGAAAGGCTCTTGACGTCATCGGACAAACAAGACTGCCTTTGGGTGAGGAGCCCGGGCCGCTGGGCGGGGCTACAAGCCAGGGCCATGGAGGACAAATGACGGGCCGGTGACGTCGCCGGGAGGCGTGGCTCTGGCTTGGCTTGTAAGTTACAGTATCAGACGGAGCCGCCGGGAGATGACCCTTTGCCAACTAAGAGGCTAAGTGGCGTGGCGAACAACGGAACTTCCGGCTTCTGGTTGTCGCACCACGCAGGGGAACAGAAGAATATAGAATTATAGCCTTGGGAAGGGACCCCCAAAGGTCTTCTAGTCGTGGTTTAGAGCGGCATTTCACAACCGCAGCCACTTTTAAGATGCACGGGCTTCAACTCCCAGAATTCTGGGAGTTGAAGCCCGTGCATCTTAAAAGTGGCTGAGGTCGAGAAACACTGGATGAGTAAGAGTGCAGAGTTCGAATCTTTATGCAAAGCTGAGGCTGAGAAATGCCGCATATTGAGACTCGTCCCTGTAAGAGGGCAGCGGGCTATGTAAGACCCTTGAAAGGAGGCCCTGTGCCGTTTTAAAATGTTTCCATTTATTCTGAAATATAACCATATTTCATACTTTACACCAGGGGTAGTCAACCTTGGCTCTTTTATGATTCGTGGACTTCAATTCCCAGAATTCCTGAGCCAGCTTAGCTGGCTCAGGAATTCTGGGAGTTGAAGTCCACGAGTCATAAAAGAGCCAAGGTTGCCTACCCCTGCTTTACACTGAAGTATGGATCTCTTGCTCTTGTCAGACCTTTATTGGAGACGCAGAGCGCAGTCGGGCTGGGCGCTCGCTCCTTGCTCCCGGTCTTGTTTGCCAATAAAATGCAACACAACGTGCCAGAACGACAAAGGGAAGCCTGCCCTGCGTGCTGGGCGTGGGTGGAATCGAATTACCTACTTGTGCTGGGCGTGAAAGAGTTTCAGGATGTCTGCACAATCGGTAGCAGCTCTCGTCTGGAATGGCTGCTCCTGATAACGGGATGGTCTGGTTTGAATGGAATGGCCTACATATAATTGCTGCTGCTGTTAGTATTGCTTTCAATTGCTTGTAGCCACCCAGTCTGGCAGGTTCAGGGCAGTTCAAGAATCCCCAAACAATGGAAATACTTAAATATATATATATATATACACACAACCCAGACACCCCTGGAGTGAAACGGTAACAATTACAACAAAGAATCACAACGGAGGCCTCCACTTGCACCCTTTCCGCCAGCTTCCTGTGGTCTAGTTCGGTAATGCAAAAGCAGGCGACCCTATTCCATTTCGGACAAATGGCTGTCCGTTTGTCTCTTCTTAAAAACTTCCAGTGTTGGAGCATTCACCGCTTCTGGAGGCAGGTTGTTCCACTGGTTAATTATAATAATAATAATAATGATAAAGTTGGAAGGGACCTTGGAGGTCATCTAGTCCAACCTCCTGCTCAGGCAGGAAACCCTATACCATTTCGGACAAATGGCTGTCCAGTCTCTTCTTAAAAACTTCCAGTGTTGGAGCATTCACCGCTTCTGGAGGCAGGTTGTTCCACTGGTTAATTATAATAATAATAATGATAAAGTTGGAAGGGACCTTGGAGGTCATCTAGTCCAACCCCCTGTTCAGGCAGGAAACCCTATACCATTTCGGACAAATGGCTGTCCAGTCTCTTCTTAAAAACCTCCAGTGTTGGAGCATTCACCGCTTCTGGAGGCAGGTGGTTCCACTGGTTAATTGTTCTAACTGTCAGGAAGTTTCTCCTTAGTTTTAAGTTGCTTCTCTCCTTGATTAGTTTCCATCCATTGCTTCTCGTCCTGCCTTCAGGCGCCTTGGAGAA